GAGTTGGCCATGGTGCCCAGAATCCTGGCAAACTTGGGCGCATGAGGGTCCAGGTAGATTCGTTGAATGGCAGTTTCCTTCCTGGTCTTTCCGCACCACCAGTTGGCGTAGTTGACAAAGAACAACTGCTCCTGTGTGAAGAACTCCAGCCCAGGAAGATCCTGGTTGGGCTTCTCCGCCGCGCGCTTCTTCCACGCCGCAAATGCTGCCGCTAGACCACCTGCGTCCGCGATGTTTTCGCCCAAGGTCAGTCGGCCGTTGACATGGAGCGGTTTGTCATCAGGGCCTGGTACAGAAAAGTTGGAGTACTGCTCGACGAAACACTCTGCCCGCTTCTTGAAGTTCTCGACCGTCTTTTCCGTCCACCAGTCGGTGAAATTGCCGTTCTGGTCATAATGGCGACCGGTCGAATCGAATGCATGAGAGAGTTCGTGCCCAGATACGGATCCGAAGGCGCCGTAACTGAGATACTGGGGGACATCGACATCGAAGACGGGAAACTGGTCTAATTAGCACTTGAATGCGCGTCTTGCTCCTTTCACTGAACTGACCTGCATGATTCCTGCTGGGAAAACAATCTCATTGCCGGGAGGATTGTAGTCTGTAAGATTAGTCAAGTGCTAACAAAACACGCAGGGGATTGGAAGCACATACATGCATTCACAGTTGGAACAGTCATATCCCTAAAGACCGTCAACACTTGCAATCAATCCTACGACAAGAAGCAGTCACGAACCACTGATTTCTATCCACGGGCTTGCCCAGAGCCGCCCACTCGCGAGCGAGCTCAGCACGGATGATCGATACGGCATTGCCGAAGTACGTCGAAGAAGTAATGTTGACTGGAGCGTAATATTTTTTCAGACTCGCGGGGTCCATAATGTTTGGACTCTGTAAACAGCATCTATCAGTATTATACAACTTAATAAAAGTCCTGGAACTTCATATACCTTGTCCGGATATCCAATTTTCTGGACAATGTTGTGGACCTTGGAAATGGCCAGCTCAATCACTTCCTTCTCCATCCACTCGGTAACCTTGAGTTTTTCGATGAACTGGTCCTTGATATCGGAGACAATTTGGTCACCAAATTCTTTCGCCTTGGCAGAGAAGGCTTTCTCGACGAAGAAGCGGCTCAGGATCCAGCCCACTCCAAAGTCGACGTGGTCGACGCACGTTCGCCATCGTTCCGGTTTTGTATCTGGGTCCTAGGTCATGTCAGCATCGGAAGGCTGGAAGGTCACTTCGAGGAAGCATGGTACCTTGCCCTCCAGCTCGTTTGAAAATCGTTTGAGAGGAGCAACCGCATCGGCCTCGATGAAGCTGGCGTACGACTGGACTACCTTCCACATGAAGTATGTGTGCAGAGTCTTTTCTGGTGTATCCGCCAGCAGTTTACTAAGCTCCTTCATGTATTGTGGAGCCATGACTATGACTCGCTCCAATTGGTAGTTTGAGGGTACCAGGCTATGGAGGATTTCCGACAGCTTCAGTTGTGGAGTTAGAGCATCAGCATCAGCTAGAGACATGGGGTTGTAGTATTTCTGTCCTGTACGTTAGTAAGTTCGGGTTGTGAAACAGTGCTCCAGCTCACCGTCACGTCGTTGCGGTCTTCAGCAGTCGGCGAGGCTTTCGCAAGCTGCTTCTCGAACTCGACCAGATCATGAGCATCGACTACATCTCCGGAGGCCCCATCTTGGAGTGCCGAGAGAACTTCCGAAGCCACGCCTTCATACTTCTTCACGAGCTGTTCGTCTTCGTACATTTCCTGTGCAGGTAAACCGATGCTCCAGGGAGCCGCGATGGAGACGACCACCGTATCTGGATCTTTGTCGTCGGCACCGGTGTCAGCAGATATCACGGTCGACATTCCAGTCTTGAGCATAAATGCAATGGTGGCAGAGAGGTCGCCAGATGAAAAATGTTTCGCGGTGTCGTTGAGTATCTCGATCAATGGCGCAACCCCGACTTTCGCGATGGTGTCCTCATCCAAACAAGCATCATAGGCCGCTTTGAGCTTGTCGAAATTCTCCTTGTCCACCGAGCCTGTGGTACTGTCGAGTGTGGCAGGGGAGAAGTAAGAATGCTGGAGCAAATATAAGCACAGGAACCAAGATCGTTGATGGGGTGCCAGGGACTCACCGCCGACAAGCCGGGGTACGGATTTTCGAGGATATGGCGGAGTAGCATCTGAGAATTCTCGCTCATGATGGTGCCGGTAAAAGCATCGCCTTGGTCGGGCCGTAGATCATGACGCTCCCTCCAACCTCCGCAAACCAGCTCCTCGAAGTCGGTGCATGGGTCAAGGGTTTGGTAGTCGGGCGACAAGTTGTAAAGCAGCTCCGAGGAGGCATGAACACACGCAGGCGTGAGACAGATGTCAGCCCCCTTATGTTCGGGTTCTTTGCTGTTTGCTTCGGGGTTGTCAGCAACCAAACGGAGCCGTGAACCAGTTTCACACAGCAAGACTCACTATTGAGGGAGAAAGGCAAAACATCGGGCCCGTCATTCTTCACAACGAAGCCGGCATAACAGAGCCATGTGACGAAGAGGACCATGAAGGCGGCGAAGGCACGCCAATGAAACGCTTCCCGGAGGCGGCGACCGCACGAAGCGCAGTAGGATGCGGGAGTCGGCGCCCTGCTTTCCTCATCTTGTACCAGAGGAGCCTTTTCGCCGATGTGCTCATGGCCACTCGACAGTGATTGACGATCCATCATGGCAGGAACGGCGTCGTGCACAGGATGAATGGCATGAAGGGAGTAAAGATGGTGAGATGGGGTCGAGTTAAAGGGAACATGTTTGGCTACGGAGATTTGGTGGTGGCGCGGTGGTTGCCGTCCTACGCATGGGTGGGAGTGAGTTGGTGCCACTTGGGGGGCGGGAACAGGGGAACTGTGACACCTGCAGCGCCCGTTAGGCGTTCCTGAAAGAGAGGAGGAGCCTTACTGGTGCCTGAGTGGGTGTTGTCACCAGCCTTGGGTTGTAGCTTCAAGCTTCCCCGCACAGACACCGGAGCTGCGGGCTGTGAGCTCCTGCGCGCGTTGTGACTTCCTAGGATGCCAATGCCCACACAAAACTGGCTAGGCAACTAGAGCTAGTGTAATATTTAGGCACCTAGGTAGGCAGCAGGCTCTGGCGATCCTCAAGAAGCGAGTTGGCGGAGGCCACCATACTCAATGACCAGGTAGGCTGCCAGCTTCTACCATCAGTTCTTTTACTACCTAGGTCCTGTATGTACTGGTATATCCACCTCCCAGTCCTCGCACTGCCCAAAAATTCCTTTCCTGTCTATATCTCCGACTGGGTACGGCATGTGGGATAATGCACAAATGTCAAGCCTCAAAGGGGAGAGTCCATGCCAATTGAAAAGGTACTGGCGCAAAAGAACCCTGAAACAAGAGGGCTGAAAAGTCCCCCCACCGTGATGAGCGGCGGGACAAGTTATTGATGTCTCGGAGGATTTTTGAGGATGGAGAGTCAGGTTGGGGGTTGTGATGTCCGACTCACGCATTGAGGTCGCTCCGTATGTAGTGTTCCTTTAGGACACTACGTGATGAATATATTTAACAAGTGAATGAGGAAATAAAGGAGGAAGGTCGCTCGAAGTATCGGAACGCATATCTTGGTGCCGGCTGTAGCGATACCTCTCAAAGTCATACCACGGCGATGGAACTTTGAATGAGAAAGAAGGAGAGCTCGCATGCAGTCTCACAATGTGGGTGGTGAAGTGTTAAGTACCAGTACCGAGTAGGTAGCGTGTGACCCAGAAGTCGCTGGGGAAACTTAGACGAGCCCTTCAACCTATCGATGGTCCAATTGACAATATCAAAGGTGAGATGTGTGTATGACTACATGGCAATGCCACCGAGACAGACTACATCCTCCCTGCCCAAGAACTGGCCCAAAGACATTCTCTATCTCGACAAACTCCATATTCCGCCTCCATTATCACCAGAACTACTCCTCTCATCAGTGACCAGAGCCACCTTCAGACCGTCCGATTCACTCCCCGTGATTCCCGATTCAGCACTCACGTCGCCATCTCCGCTGGTCCAAATAAAGTCCATCGCCGACCCCTCCCACCCAGCGTACCGACAGCACGGGTTGTTTGCGGCGCGCCCCCTGGCCCCGTCGTCATTCGTGATCCTCTACCTCGGCACGCTGCACACGTCGTCGTCAGAGTCAGCTTCGACATCGGACTACGACCTCAGCCTCGACCGCGAGCTGGACCTCGCCATCGACGCCGCGCAGTGCGGCAACGAGGCGCGCTTCATCAACGACTACCGCGGCATCCGACCCGAGGGCCCCAACGCCGAGTTCCGCGACTGTTGGGTCGAGATGCCTCCACCGACCTCCCGCGGCGGCGAGGCGAGATGGGAGAGGCGGATCGGCGTGTTCGTGCTGAGTACCGGCAAAGCCAACCGGAAGGACGGCGGGAAGCAGAGGGCGAGGGGGATCGCAAAGGGCGAGGAGATCGTGGTTAGCTATGGCAAGGGATTCTGGAGGGCGAGGCAGCAGGAAGAGGAACTGGGTCACTGACAAGGGGACTCGAAGGGGCTGATGGATGACGCCAACGAGAATGGCTGGGGCTTTTGCTCGAAAGCGACAACGATGAGCTTGTTTCCTATTGACTGACAACCCTCGACGAGTCGCGGTCGTGACTTGGCACAGGAAAGAAAGGAAGCCCTCATCTACATCCATCACTCGTGGCGCTCGACCATCTACAAACTTCAAACACCTACTCGTCAAGCTCTAAGCTAACGTTACTCGGCAACCCAATTATGGCTGCGAGAGTCCCGGCACCTTTGTGTCCGTCAATCAATATCTGGGCGGGCCTGATCAATCCCTATCCAACAGCCTATATGTACTAGGTACGTCTCGCATTTTTCACGCCCAGCTAATCCATCAACACCATCTTCGAGGCATCAAGGTCGCCCTACCCTATAACATCCCACACACCACGCAAATACTTTTTCTTCGACAGTGCTCTGACCAGACTATTGGAATTCCTTCCGTCTCCTCACTCTCACCTTGGCGCTCATCGGCGGGACGTGGTTCGGTCCCGCCCAGTAGCATTCAGGTCTAATACCCTTCCCATTCCAGTTCCCACCAAGGCCCCCTTCCATGACCATCTGGATCTCGTACCGCGAGAGCAGATACGCGAGCAACAGCTTCAGTTCCTGCGCGGCAAAGAATCTTCCAGGACAAGCGTGCCGACCATGTCCGAACCCGAGGTATGAGGGAGAGGTGGCGATGAAGGAGAGGTGGGCTTTGTCCAGGTACTCCTTCTCCCGATCTGCTCTATCTCTATCACCATCCCCGAGTCCACTGGAGACTCTGTCTCTCAATTCCACGAACCGGAAAGCCTTGTATTTGTCGGCTCCCTCATAAAGGGTCTCGTCATTATGGCACCCCCAACTGTGCGTGGCGACCATACATCCTTCGGGTACATGTATCCCATCGGGCGTCGTGATGCCCCCCGGAGCAACGACCTTTTGGTTCACTCCCACACCTATGATACTCGCGCGTCGTGAACTTTCTCGAAGAGCAGAGTCGAGGTAGTGCATTTTGGCGATAGCCGTGCGCGACCACATCCTCGAAGCCTGTCCCGATCCGGCGTCTGGCTCCATGTTGTCCCAGGCCTCCTGCCGCAGCGTTTCCAGGACACGCTCGTTGCGCGGTGCGGCAAGGATATCCAGCAAGGCATTGGTGCCGATGAAACTGGTCGTGTGGACGGACGCGAAGTTCACGTGCAAAAGGCGCGCACAGATGATCTGCGGGTCTGCCTCGTCCGGCGACAGATACGATTTGGTGAGCGATCGGGTCAACAGCCATTGGAGAAAGTCGTTCTTTGCTGTGTCGCCCGGCCGCTCCGTCTCGCTGTTCTTGTGTTCTGCCTCGGAGTCGCTGGTGGTTACGTCCTGGAGGCCCTGACGCCGGAGAATCTCGGGCGTGAGGATTTCAGTGTATGCGCGGGTATGCTTACGATTAGAGGATGTCACTATCCGAGAGACAAGAGGCCGGAGTATGCCAGGGAAGAGTCGCAGTATCGTTGCAGAAAAGGCAATATCTTCTGCAAAACCGATTGCATTCTTGAGGTATTCCTCGTCACGACCTGAAGGCCATGTTTGATTAGCATTTTGGACAGTGAACACTACCGATGCAAATTTTCTTCTAAAGAGGACGGCGATGCTCTCTCGAGGACGATGTATGCTCTTCTGTGTCAGGCGGCCTGGGGCCTGTGGATCATTCTACGCACCGTCCACTTTGACCCGCCTCTTTGCCAGAAGGAAGGGAATCTACTCACATAGTGGAAGCCCGACAAAGACTCTATTGGAAATTCGGGCAATGATCTTGGTGAGACTGTCGAAGAGCACCACGGTCTTCCACCCGTCGGCGTCAGGGTAGTATTCAAAGTCGGGATCAGCTTCGCTGCCCCAGATTTGATCTACTGCTGCGGCTAGTTCGTCGCACACTTCGGGCGTGACATTGAAGACCTGCCTAGTCAACTCGGACTTGATGACGTCTAGCAAGGGGCATGAAGCGTCAGCGAGGTTCAAATAGAGTGCAACTGGGGAAAGAAAATGCCAAGTTTCAGGTCCAAGGACCGAAGACGCCAGAGTAAGGAGAAGGGGAAACAGACCGAAGTGAACAGTTGGATCCATAATCTCGGGCTTGGGGAAAGTATATCGGGTCTGTAGGATATGCTTGTGGGCGCCATTGACACTGAGGACGTTGTCAGGCTGGGCGATCAGCCAGGATGTGTTGGACGGCGGGAGCAGAACGACCTCGCCATCGAGAGTGGCGAGGATGCACGGCTTGTTGTGGCGGGCATACTGTGTTGGAGAGTGTGGTCAGATGAAGATGGACAAACAGTGCGCGATAGGCATTGTCACAAGAGGATATCAATGGCAACGAATGACATAGGCCATTGCTTCTCTCCTCCCTTCTCTGATGTCGTACCTGTTCCAAGATAACCGAGGCCAATGGCTGAGAGAAAGAATGGAATAAAGAAGCTGCGAGGATAATGGGACAGAGACAGCAGCACCTATAAGCCCCCCTCTGACCCAACATTTAGAAACCTACCTGATCATATGCCCTCCTCAAGGCCTCTTCGTAATTGATGGAGCACCACAGCCTCGTCCTCAGATCGCACAGGACCCATGCTCTATCGTTGCGCGCAACCCACGGCAGATCCGGCAGTGTCGGGCTGCTCTTCCGGCGCCAGTGCAGCAGTAGAAAGGCGAGCAGCAGGCACACTGGGAAGACGATGTTCAGGGGGTTTGTAGTGAGGGAGATGGAGAGGATGTCAGTTGGAGACCTGGAGGCATCGGAAGCCATGGCGGGCGACCCTAAAGCGTGGGTTCAGGCCTGTTCCTGGTCTGTGCAATTTGGCTTTGTCCAAGAGCGCCGGCCCACCCCTCTCTACCTCCCTCCCTCTCTTGTTTCCCTCGGCCAGCTTGTCTTTCAAGGCAGGAACAGGACAGGTAGGATCTAACGGTCCGGCGGGAACAAAGTCAAGGGTCCTGAAGCAGAGTGCTGTCGTGTCAGAGGTGTTATTGGAGGTAGGGTTGGGGTGGTAGAAGAGCAAAACGCATAGGAGAGAGAAGGATCAGAAATGAGTTTACGTGGCAGGAGAGGACTGACTGAGCAGGTCGCTAGATGCCCGGAGCAGTAGAGAGGCTGAGAGGGTGCTGTAGAGCTCTTGGTATGTGGTTTGTTCTAGGTACAGGTCGACAGGGTACTCGGTACATGAGGGAGTGAAAGAGTTGTAAATACCGAGTACTTACGCAGTCCCTGTTGCCCTTCACCTTCTCTTCACACCTCCCCTTCTCGACTCTTCTCCTTCCCACGTGCCCACCAGTCAATGTAACAAGTCTCACTCTCTCAAATCATTATCCACCATCCACAATCATCTCCTCGGTCTCCCGCCCAATGAGAAATTGCCACACTCCGGACACATCAACAAGTGGTCTTATCATGCCTAGTCACTGTTGGCGGTCGGTGGCCTCACGGTCTGGGTCTAATGCCGTTTAATACTTGAGATGCTTGTGACTTGTCGTTGCTAACGCAGTCTCAGGAAGTTAGAGCGTTTCTGCGCTTGCACCCCCTCGAGCCGCGATGTCATTATCATGCAGACGTCCTCGGTAGAGGTCCCTCAAGCGAAAGCGACATATCCCGAGGGATACGAGCCGCCTCCTTCCACCTACGAGTACATCTGCACTAGCTACCTATATCATGGACGATCACAGCCAGACTGAGGCATTTTTCAATCTCACGGAGAGGGTGAACTCGACCCCTCCAGGTGAATCTGAATCTGCTGTGCCGCCTCGTTCCATACGTCCCAGCACCGGGGCTGGAGCACATAGTCCCACCACAGGAAATGCGACATCAGAGTCTGAAACAAAATCCAGTCCAACAGTCGCCGATCCTCGCGCAAGCTCCGACTCAGCTGCATGACATACCATTCCTGGTGAACCGTCCCATGCGCTGCCATGGCGCCCATTGTCAGACACCAGACTGTGAGCTCGCGCTCCATCTGTTCTTCCAGAGTCTCGCCTGTAAAGAATAATTCCAGGGCTTTGCGCAAGTCGTATGCAAGCTGCAACTTGATGCTCACGGATTCCCCCAGCGGGAAAAGGACTAGGTCGCTGTAGATCAGTGCAGCAAGTCGTACCATATTGTAGAGAGAGTCCTCATGTGAGGGCACCAGATCCAGCGGTGGATCGAGCGAGCATAGCTGGTGCTGCACGGCATTCCTGACTGTACATATATCTCTGATTATAGGTGCCGCGGGAGCCTTTCGGTGATATAGATCGATGCCCAGCGTCGCCCGACATGCTAACATTAGAGCTCGTAAAAGCCCGGGAATTTGCACGCAAGAGAAGCCTCGACCCATCACCAGAGATAGTTGGAATGCACGGGGATCGAGCACAAGGTCCTTGAATGCTTCGCAGGCGTAGCGCAGCTTGTTGGGCCACGGCCAGAGAGGGCGGACGCCGAGTCGAGTCGAGACGAACGTGTCCGCGCTAGAGACAAAGGAGTCAGTAAAACCAATTCAAAGAATGTTGGAGCAGGAGGATGAGAGTAGAACCCACAGGCTGAATACATGGCAGTGATCGGGCAGAGGGGATCCATCTATACCACCCAGAGGTTCGAGAGTGCGGTAAAACCGCTGGATCTGCTGGATTCTGCCGGGCGTCAATTCCATGTTGTTGAAAAGGTGTAGATTCTGCGCTTTGGCCATAGGGGATACGGGATATCTGGACGGCTCCTCCTCGTGAGTTCCAGCAGGCCACGTCACCAAAAGCAGCGCCAGAATTATACTCTTCCAGGGCGGCATCGGGTTCTTCTGGACGATATCTGCAACGGCTTCGAGAGTCTTCCGCTCATGGTACGATACTGCTCGTGCTACCAGTGACCGAGACTGGTGATTCGCCGGAAGCAGTCGTAATCTGTGACCCCCTGCGTTGACAATCTGTGCGTGGAGAATAAAAGGAATTTCCTGTGCGTCCCTCCGTCTCATGACTTCATATCGTTCGGTGGTGATCGGATCCTGGTTCAGCACTGCAGGCCAGACGAAGCGGTAGGCTTGGAATACCGAGCGACAATCAGCAATGCCGAAGAAACCAGAAATTTCCGACACTCAACTGACCACCATCAGGGGATCAGGGACATCGCAACTTCACAAAGAACAAAACGGACGAGGGTTGCAGAGATCGCGACTCACAATGTTCCAGGATATCGTAGATGAAAGGAGGCAGCCCGCTAACCGGGCCCGTGTCAAACGGGTCATAGTTAGCCTGGCCCAGTGAGGTTGTGGAGGTAAAGCTCTTGGGTACCAGCGACAACCCGTGCACGATCTGTGGACGTTCTGGAGTTTTGGGTCGTACCGCCAGCTTCTGTCTGATAACTGGAAGTGTCGAATCGTCACTATCCTGTTGAACATCGTCATCAACCGAACGACGGCTGAGTCTCTTTGGGGAGCGACGGCTCGAGCTGACAGCTTCATCTTCGGCCTGCGGAACGGGTCGCTTGAGTCTGGAGTTCCGCGCTGCATGAGCTCGACGATCTGCATCTTGGAGTTCTTTCTCCCTCTGCGAGCGGGGTGTGGAAGACAGAGACTGATTCAGGAACAGAAACTCTCGCCGCGGGTCGGAAGCCATGTGGGTAGATGTTGTGCTAAAATTCCATCATGACGGGAAACATGATTGATATCGTCCGAGAGATAGGCCATTCGCCCAGGAAGGAAAGGCAGAAATGACAATCTGGGGATCGCATGACCCTAACTCTAAGCGACAAGGGCCATGTCGAAAGTGGAATTCGCAGAATCCCACAGGTAAACTGGATGAGGAGAGCCAAAAGTTGGCGACGACCAAAGCGAGGTGCTGCCGGAAGCCGGGACAGACGCTGAGAATAGTCTGTACAGTAGGCTTTGATAATCAAGATGGCCGGGGCTTGAATTCCTATTTCTTGCCCTCCTATTGCCAGGTCCCCCCCGTGGTGACACCCGTAGTCGGACCATGGTAAGGAATGAGTCAGCGACGGGCTTCCTCCATGGCTCCAACAACGACGGCGACCGTCATGTTGTTTTGGTTGTGTAACTTCGCATCACGATTGACCTCTATCTCACCGCCCGTCGATTCGGCAGTCGTGAGACCTCCGAGTGAAAACTTCGTATGCTGTCTCATCAAGTATCATTCTGCAGCAGCGAACCAATCGAGGGACGCATGTCAGACCGTGGGGCCGAGGCTGGTTGAGCTGCGATAGGGCAGGAATTGGTGGTGCATGTGGAGTGTATGGCCAGCCCAGTATGCGAAGAGAAACGTAAGCATCCCGCTCGCTTCGCCTACACCCATCTTCCTTTCAAGCTTGGCAGCTGTTCTTGGTGAATCCTCAAGAAGATGACTAGGCTGCTGCAAGCGTGGGAAAAATGTTGACGAGGAAAAAAGGACAGCACTGTGTGGCTGGGATCCAGATCCCCCAAAATACTTGAAATAGCAAAGGCTCCGCTGCTTTCTCGAGGTTGATAGACAGCTGTTAAGTAAGGCATCCTGAACCCCTGCCATGCGAAGGCAGGCAAACGAGCTCTGGGAGGTACGTCTCGTGCCCTCAGTCGAAATTCTCTTATGCCAGTCCCACGGGCGCCAATTCCAAGCTTGTCGAATGCGCAGCATCATGATACACCGTCCACCCCAGCAAGCGTTGTGTGTCGATGACACTTACTCCCGTGCATACCTGCTCTGGCGGTGGCGGTGGCGGTGGGTGATTCGGAGGAAATCAGATGCAGGCTTGGTCATATCTCAGATACACCTAATCAACGACGCATTGGCCATTTACTCTTCAATCATGCGAGGACTCTGGTAAGGCCGACTCCTTGGGATCCTCTGCATGTGAAACCTTGCGTGGGAGAATGAACATACCCGAAACTGCGTTCCCTGCAATCGCAATGTTTTCTCAGCTGGCCTCGACCCCAGGTTGGTGCCTCGGGAATTCGAGGCCATCTCGGGGGGCCTGTAATGTGTCTCGACAATGACGCTCACGAAGTCTCTGACTGAGGCCGGCGATGCGTTATGCTGTTTCCGCGCGATCTCCGCCGATTTGCGGTTGGACATGCTTGACAACGAAGTGCATAGCGCGATTCGTGCTGGACCCGAATATGGTGGTCTATTTGTCTTGCAGACCACGTTCAAAATCTCCCTGGTTGTGCATTGCTTGTCGCAACCCCTGTCAAAGATGAATCAACTCAGCCATCTCACTAGCGCCTCCATCAGAAGTCTTCTGTCCACAGGCTTGGCGATATAATCATTCATGCCTGCTGCGAGGTAAGCTTCTTCATCTCCCTTCAACGCATTCGCAGTCATGGCGACGATGGGAACCACGTGACCGGCTTCTCGAATTCTCCTTGTGGCGGTCACGCCATCCATCACCGGCATAGAGATGTCCATCAGGATCAGGCTGTAGGCTAGAGGCTTTTGGGTCATCAGCTTGACGCCCTCCGCACCATCGGAGGCCACATCCACTTTCTCGAGGCCAAAGCTTCGCAAAAGACGAACCATGATTGTTTGATTTATGCCGTTGTCTTCGACGAGAAGAATGTGCTTGGTTTGCGCCAACTTCTTGAGATCCACTTCCAGCGTGCCCTTCGGAAGTGGTTTAGCTGGTGAGACTTCTAATTTGTTGACTCTGGAAGTGAAATAGAAGATGCTTCCCTGGTGCTCTGGATTCCGCATGTAACCTACCACCCCACCCATGAGTTCAGCCAAACTCTTGCAAATGGAAAGGCCGAGTCCAGTGCCCTTGTACCTTTTGGTCGAAGAGGTGTCTAGCTGGGTGAACGG